CTAAACTCTTTCCCGCAAGATTCAGCAAGCAGTCTTCTATATTGGCTTTTAAAACCGGGGAGTTCGCCGGCAGCAGCAAAGGCGATGAGGAACTCACCGTCAAAGAATGGGTCGGGAGGGCATTCTCGTAATTTCACTGACGCTTTCTGGTCTCCCTTTGTCAACAAGTCCGGTGCCGGAATATCTCCCAACAGATCATACGCTCTCGTCTCACTCTTCATCCTCCTCATCGTCGGCGCGTTCATCTCCACGCGCCTCCTCCTCGACCCCACCGTAAGTCACTAAAACGACACTCTAACTTGTCGTTTTCGCTGAATCTATAAATTCTCGGTGCTTGTGTTTTTCCTTTTTTCAACTCTTTTGAATTTTGATATTTTTTTAGAATTTTATTCTCTCACGTGAGAATTTTATAATTGTGCATTCACATGTGCCGGATTTGTCGGCTTACCGTACTCCTGTCTGAGAGTTCACTCGTAGTCCGACACGTGTCCAATCGTAGGACCCAAAGACGACTTTTCCGATTAATAGCTGTCACGCGCTACTGCTCACAAGTCATCCCGTTTTCAGGTTCTGCTAGAGAAAGAAACCGTGACGTCGCCGACGGAGACTAAACCCCAGACGATTTCCCCAAAATACCCTCGACCACCTACAGTAATTACAAAAAGCCCACAAGAATTCATACTGCACTGCTCCGGCAACCAGACCACCGGGAGAAACAGTTACCCGGCAACGGCGAGCTTCGGAGACGATGATTCAAAGCTTCCTCCGACCCCCACGTGTCCCGAATACTTCCGGTGGATCCACGAGGATCTCCGTCCATGGGCGAGCACCGGGATCACGAGGGAAGCACTGGAGAGGGCCAAAAAGACGGCGAATTTCCGGCTAGCGATAGTCGGCGGGAAGGTTTACGTTGAGAAATTTCAAGATGCGTTTCAGACGAGAGACGTGTTCACTATCTGGGGACTCTTACAGCTTTTAAGGAAGTACCCTGGTAAGATTCCAGATCTCGAGCTCATGTTTGACTGCGTAGACTGGCCGGTCGTTAGGGCTGCGGATTTCGCCGGTGTCAACTCGCCGTCGCCTCCGCCGTTGTTCCGGTACTGCGGAAACGAGGAGACGCTCGATATCGTGTTCCCTGATTGGTCTTTCTGGGGATGGTAATGTACTGTTACTTCTTTTTGTTTTAAAGCACCTTTGATTTTCCAAGTTCTCTCGATTACACCACAATGGTTTCGAACTGATCAATCTAACCCCATTGAAATTTTGTAGGTCGGAGGTGAATATAAAGCCATGGGAGAGTCTGTTGAAGGAGCTAAGAGAAGGGAACAAGAGGACTGATTGGGTAAACAGAGAGCCTTATGCTTATTGGAAAGGGAATCCATTGGTCGCAGAGACAAGACAAGATCTCATGAAATGTAATGTATCTGAGGAACACGAGTGGAACGCTCGTTTGTATGCTCAGGTAATAATGATGATGCCCTTTGAACAATCAAATGTTTTTGAGGAATGTCAAGAAATATTATTCTGCTGGTTACAACTCTAAATTTGATTAAAGAAAGCAACAATTTTTGTAACTTTTATGTGTGTTTTTGATTTCATCTTGTAGGACTGGATCCGAGAATCAAAGGAAGGTTACAAGCAATCAGACTTGGCAAGCCAATGCCATCACAGGTAGTGTAATTTTGTAAACTTTCAAATATAATCGTGGCTAAACAAGAAGGTTGACATATGGAATAGTAATTGTATGGCTCTATGTGATGTTTATGTATAGGTACAAGATTTACATAGAAGGGTCTGCGTGGTCCGTTAGCGAGAAGTACATTTTGGCGTGTGACTCGGTGACTCTGCTTGTGAAACCCCATTACTATGATTTCTTCACCCGAGGCCTGCTTCCAGCTCACCATTATTGGCCCGTTAGGGAGCACGACAAGTGCCGCTCCATCAAGTTTGCTGTGCATTGGGGAAACTCTCACATTCAAAAGGTACATTGTTAATCTATAATGATAGGATTTCGGTTGTTTGTTTGTATTTCCATTTATATTTAGCATGTTTCTTTTCCATATGAACCATGGCCTTTACCATCTCAAACAAGACAAAAAGGGTAAAAACTACCTCAGTTGAGACCAAGAGATTGATTTGAATTGAGAACTGAATCTAAATTCTCCGGTCATTATCCTTCGGCCGTGTTGTTTTTGTTTAACCAGGCGCAGGATATTGGAAAGGCGGCGAGCGAATTTATCCAAGAAGAACTCAAGATGGACTACGTGTATGATTACATGTTCCACCTTTTAACCGAGTACTCAAAACTCCTCCAGTTCAAACCTGAGATTCCCCTGAATGCCACTGAGATTTGCTCGGAAACGATGGCGTGCCCAAGGAGCGGGAACGAGCGGAAGTTCATGACGGAATCACTCGTGAAGCACCCTGCAGAGACCGGTCCGTGTGCCATGCCGCCTCCATATGACCCTGCGTCGTTTTACGCAGTTCAGAAGAGGAAACAGAGTACAGCTACGAGAATCCTACAGTGGGAGATGAAGTACTGGAGCAAGCAGAATCAAACCGGCTCTTAAATTTAACTTCATTTCGATTTTTGTTGTATAGAGAAAAAATAAGAGATACACGTATAACCGGTCTCTGTTTATCTTTTTAATCCGGTTTGATCTTGTTGTAGATTACTAGATTCTATGTTTCAAGGTAAGGTTATATTTCACACGAAAAATCAAAATTAAAAATGTCATACAAATGTCATATGACTGTACCATATTATATTATGTGTCTATATAATTTGAATACTTTAGTCCTTAATTCGCGTGTTTGTCTAGATAGTATCATGATTACTCTTTTTCCTCCCTCTTAAGAAGAGTTGGTTATTAAAAGTGAATTTGGTAAACGAATAAACGATATATAACCATCAACGGAAGAAATTATTAAGCGTAGAGTTACAAGATTGAGTTGGTCATGAAATTGATGGTGTAACTTGATGGTTACTACTCACTCACAAGTTGCTCTAACTTTGAGATTGATACATTCTCCAACTTTGAGATTGATACATTGCTTCTGATTTAGACCTTAATCATTTAAAAGCTGTTTTTTGCTGTCTATCTTCAATTTTCACGTCACGTAGGTCCCAAATTCACCTGTTTATTGTTCAAGTTGATTATTGAGTAATTTGCACGTTACTGTTCAGATTAGAGTTTGACCCTACCGCATTGCACTACAATACTGTATAAATGATAACATATATAAAGATCAAGCTATCGATTATTATATCCACGCAAAACTAAATTTGATCTTTATTAAAAAACGGTAAATCTTAAATTCTAATACACACTGAACAACAAAAGTACAAAACTATCAAATTCCCTTGCCTATGTCGAAAATCTACTCGGCACATGTGCATTCTTTTGTTAATTGTTTTCACCTGTTAAAGTGTTGGGGATTAAGCATAATTCGCTAATCAGATTAAATTGCATTACCATTAATCCCAGTCACGTGATTTTACGTTGGTATCACGTGTTTGTCACGGTTTGCTTCATGTGCAAGAATATAAAAAAGCTGGAGAAAAAATAAAGAAAATTGTTCAGATCTCGCAGCCTTATTTTCTACAAGGTTCCAGTCTTCACATGCTTAAGCGCGTGCAAGTACTCGCGTAACGCATCGCGTGAGAATACCTGATACACTCTGTATCCATCTGTACAACACCCTCACTATTTAGTGAAGTTAATGTTAACAAAAAAAAAAAATTACATCCAAATATTTACAAATGATGTAATTACATACACCACAAATTACATAATTAGTTCCGCAATACTTGTAAAAAATTAAAAAGAAAAAACAGATTACTTTTAGAATGACAAAAAATACAGTGTTTCTACTATTTTCGAGAGGTTCTTTTTGCAGAAGAATTTAACTTTTTGTTCACATAATGACAAAAAAATATACCGAATGTCCTGCTTTGATTAAAAACAAAATAATAATCCAAAATTATTTTTCCAATTTAGTAGTAACACTGTATATTTTTTCAGAATAATGGACCAACGGACCGAACAGCCGTTACTTATCTCCGTCACTCGTGGCGGCAATATAGAAGAATACCAATGTTACCGGTTTAAATTGGTTATAATTAAAGCCGAAAAAATTGGTTAAAAATTAACATTTATTCATATTCAAAAAAGGTAAAATTTCCACCAAGTTCTAATAATTAAATTATGAAGTAAGGGATTCAAATTTAACAAAAGAAAAAAGCAAGGAAATTGTGCCAGTTCAATCGTTGGTTTACTGGTTCAGCCTGGTAAGGTTTACGTATACCGGTGCAGTTTGAACCGGCTAGCTTCCCTACAAAGAAGGGACCCAAAAGAAATTCCCGTCTCCGTTAACTCCGTACTATAAAAACCCACCACTTCGTCTTCTTCATTTCCTCTCAAGTCGTAACCGTTTCAAATCTCTGCAACCACCTCTCTCTCTCTCGAATTTTTGTTGTTGCCTACTTAGCTACTTATCGAAGATGCGTGAGATTCTTCATATTCAGGGTGGTCAGTGTGGAAACCAGATCGGTGCTAAGTTCTGGGAAGTAGTTTGCGCCGAGCACGGGATCGATTCGACGGGAAGGTATCAAGGAGATAGCGATTTGCAACTCGAACGAGTCAATGTCTACTACAACGAAGCGAGTTGCGGGAGGTTCGTCCCACGCGCCGTTCTGATGGATCTGGAGCCTGGGACTATGGACAGTGTCAGATCTGGACCGTACGGGCAGATTTTCCGTCCTGATAACTTCGTCTTCGGTCAATCCGGCGCCGGTAACAACTGGGCGAAAGGACACTACACCGAAGGTGCTGAGCTAATCGATTCGGTTCTCGATGTCGTACGAAAAGAGGCCGAGAACTGTGACTGCTTGCAAGGTTAGAATCCTTTTCTCCGATCCCGTTAATGTGTATTCGTTGTCTCAATTGGTGGTAGACACTTCGAATCTCTTCGAATTTATCGATTTCGTATGTGTATTCGTAGTCTCAAGAGCTGGATTTGTGCAATTGTTTCTGCTTAATACTGGTCATGATTAAGATTTGTGTGATTTAGATTGTTGTGTTGTTTATGTGAATGATCTTCAGGATTCCAAGTCTGTCACTCGCTGGGAGGAGGAACTGGATCTGGAATGGGAACTTTGCTGATTTCAAAGATCAGGGAAGAGTATCCAGATAGGATGATGCTGACGTTTTCTGTGTTCCCATCTCCAAAAGTGTCTGACACTGTTGTTGAGCCTTACAATGCAACTCTCTCTGTTCATCAGCTCGTGGAGAATGCAGATGAGTGTATGGTTCTTGACAATGAAGCTCTCTATGATATTTGCTTCAGAACTCTTAAGCTTACCACTCCAAGCTGTAAGCCTCTTTTCTTCATATACTATATCCAATTGCTTAATGTTTTCATTCAGTTATGTGGCCTATAAGAACTCATCTTTGCTTAACGTAGAAATTGAATGGTTTGTAACTTTGTATGATCAAGCTATACTTTTCTGTGCTCAAAGTAGAAATTGAATGGTGTGCGTGATCAATCTATAACTCTTGTTTTAGCGTTTTAAAGTACTTTTGCATTTGTTGTCTTCAGAAGTATATTTCACATTACATCATTGTTCTACACTTTTAGTCCTTCATAGCCTTTACTTATTACATCCTTATTTTGGTATTGATGCATATATTAATCCCGGTTGTTGGCTTCGCTGCTCTAATGGGATTGTTTGTTTATTTTATTCAGTTGGAGACTTGAATCATCTCATCTCTGCGACCATGAGTGGTGTCACTTGCTGCCTCCGTTTCCCGGGTCAGCTAAACTCCGACCTGCGCAAGCTTGCAGTGAACTTAATCCCATTCCCTCGTCTCCACTTCTTTATGGTTGGGTTTGCACCGCTCACATCACGCGGATCCCAGCAATACCGAGCCTTAACTGTCCCTGAACTCACACAACAGATGTGGGATGCCAAGAACATGATGTGTGCAGCTGACCCGCGCCATGGCAGGTACTTAACCGCCTCAGCTATGTTCAGAGGCAAAATGAGCACAAAAGAAGTCGATGAACAGATGATCAACATTCAGAACAAGAACTCATCCTACTTCGTCGAGTGGATCCCAAATAACGTCAAATCAACCGTCTGTGACATTCCACCAACGGGTCTGAAAATGGCTTCCACTTTCATCGGGAACTCAACCTCGATCCAGGAGATGTTCAGGCGTGTGAGCGAGCAATTTACTGCGATGTTCAGAAGAAAAGCGTTCTTGCATTGGTACACAGGTGAAGGAATGGACGAGATGGAGTTCACAGAGGCAGAAAGCAACATGAACGATTTGGTCTCAGAGTATCAACAGTACCAAGACGCAACGGCT